AATGAGCATCTTAAATTGATGAATTAGTGATGAATCCATAATGACACTGAACATATTGATCTGGCCAAAGGAATGATCTAGCGACCGTTGAATCTGAAAGCTATGCGAAAACCGAGCACCTGATCATCTTTTCGACAGAGTGGTTACGAGTCCTACGTACCTTCTGCTTTGTGATACAATCGAGTCTAGATCTTTAGATTTGTCAAGACTTATTCGCAAGCCATAGATCGACTAACATGGAAGCGAGACCACGAAAGATCTGTCGTTATAGGTATGGCACATGGATCAATTCAGAATGGAACTTGCTGTCACATATGGTTTGTGGATCCCCGTGGACAAGGTCAGGTCTCTTAGCATAGCATAGGTATAGATTACAATTTGGAAAGAACGAAATCCCATACCCCGATCATGAAATCCCATGTATGAAAGAAAGCTAGACTACGATACTAGGCTAGATAGAGCACTTGTGAAAGACAGAAAAGAAGGACCTTGGAAATTGTGAGAGAGGATGTACTATGAATGAATGAACGAACGTGGCAAGCTAGCCACAAGCGCGATTAGAATTTAGATACCGAGATTCGGGATTTGGTGATGTGATATCAGAGTTGTGTTTTTTTTTTGGTACTTACTTGGACTTGCTTAGCTTGGATACCTGCTAGGTAGGTACTAGGTGATAAATCGATATCCACCGTTGGCTGGGAAAACCTTGGAATTTATGGTTGTTGGAATTGGGGACCTTTGCGATGTTATCATATTACTAGGTAGATAGATAGATGATGGATGTTGGAGAATGGGGTTTGTTTTGTTTTGTTTTTTTGTGATGGGATTGATAGTGTCAGATTGATTATGACATAGACGGGTGTGAAGTACTAGACAGGTAGGTAGACAGGTAGGTAGGCAGGTAAGTATCTTTGAGATAGATACTCGAGTACTACTATAACATTGTATGATAATACCGCCGCTACCAGGTAGGTAGGTATAATGAATGTGCGATATGAAGCGACGGATTCCACCACTCGTTTGGTGAAATAAAGTAAGTTCCCAAGTCATTTCCTAGCTATGCCGGGCTTCCTTTTCCGAAGCTCCTTGTGGAAAGATGAACCCGATGTGGTAAAAAGCTACAAGTTACAAGCAACGATACAATACAATAATACATGTTGAAATGAGATACTCATTCACTATACATATCCGAGGTCATTTTCATAGAGGAGATATAGATACCGTAACATTCTTCAGTGTATAGTACAGTGTTGTAGGTAATGCCATGCTCACCATTCGTTGTCGGGGATAGTTGATGCTCGGCATTAGAGCCATGTGCATCGCGATGTGGTTTTTGCTTGCACGGTGCCCCACCCGGGCTCCATGCTTTGTGAATCGTGACATCGATGTGTGCATTGGAACTGGGATTACTGAGGATGGAGCGGACCAGGGGGAGGTGACGGCATTGCTGTGGTCGGTCGGGTAAGATTTTGGGTGTGCGTGGAAGAAGGGAGATGGCAAAGTGGGAAACTAGCTTGCAACAAAAAAGAAAGCGAAAAATACTTGTGCAATGTGGCAATGTGGCAACGTGGGAATGTGAGGATATACTTTCATATCGTCGTCGTCGCATGTACTGAGGCTGGTCTGATACTAAAGGAAAAAGGGGTCACAAACTAGTAAATGGTTTCAAACTGCCTAGACAGAAACTCGTCCCTTGCCAAGCGTCTACCAAACCGTAACCGATCAGGAAAATGACGCTATGCAGGTATGGTATGGTATTTAATTACCTCCCTAGCTAGCATTTCAAAATGCGGAGAAGAAAGCACTAAATTAAAGTTTCGACGAGAAAAAAGAAAAGGTCGAGGATATAACAGATGAGTGTGAATGTGTACGAATCTGTACGATGTAAGTACCTACGTGTGTATCTAACTACCCAGTACCTAGGTATTATGACCTGGAAGAGTCACGTCCTACCCCGAGTTATATGTAAGCATGAAATGTTTTGGAGGGGGGTGTTGTATGTTGTAGATGTTACTAATCATGCGAATGCTTCCCAACGAAGGATTCGAGGTATTGCCTAGGTAGGTAGGTATGTCGTTGGGTGGTTTCTTTGAATGGATATTATATATGTAGAATATGTAGATGTACTAGGTGTGTCTGAAGAGTAGAATGAAGAATAGAATCTGAAGGAATATAATGAAATGGGTTCATTAGTATCTAGGTAGATGGAGGTATCAGGCTAGAGAGAAAAGAGTAGCGGAAAGACTCTTCCTTTCATACCCTACCTATAGTAGATACCAATAACTTTGAACAAGTTTCTTAATAAACTACCCAATCGAGATAAGTTTCCTTGATGCGCAATACCTAACCCCGATTAAAATCACAACATTAATAAATCCTTTCCTCTTTCTAATCAATTCCGTTCCAGACCTTGGGACCTTTACTAATGCAAGTGCACAGTTAACAACCCCCTCCTTTTAATTGGTTGCCACGAAAGGAGGGGTACTTTTCCGAATTTCTACTTATATATTTCCATCCCTCCATTTCTTGTGCCATCTTACTTTTGATTCTTTCAATTCATTAAAATCACCAAAGCTTTCTACCATCTCGCCATCAATCTTGTTGTCATCTATATCCTCAACCATCTCAACGCTACTACATATACTACCTACCTGTGCAACAACATCAATACAATAGCAATCATGGTTGCTGACGATAAGCCCGCTTCTACCTTCAAGTACAATGAAGCTCCAGTCTACACTACTTCCAATGGATGTCCAGTGAGACACCCAGAGGAGTTTCAAAGAGTTGGTACCAATGGTCCACTTCTTCTTCAAGATTTCCATTTGATCGATCTGTTGGCACACTTCGATCGCGAACGTATTCCAGAGCGTGTTGTCCATGCCAAGGGTGCCGGAGCTTATGGAGGTAAGTCTTGTCTTTGGCTTCATGCTTTCTGTCACCATCATATTAACGTATCATCCGTAGAATTTGAAGTTACACACGATATCAGTGATATCACTACCATTGATATGTTAAGCCAAGTTGGCAAGAAGACCCCTCTCGTCTCACGTTTCTCAACTGTCGGTGGTGAAAAGGGCTCTCCAGATTCGGCTCGTGACCCAAGAGGTTTCTCCGTCAAATTCTATACTGAAGAGGGTAACTGGGATTGGGTTTACAACAACACCCCTGTTTTCTTCCTCCGAGACCCAACCAAGTTCCCTCTCTTTATCCACACACAAAAGAGAAACCCTCAAACAAACTTGAAAGATGCTACCATGTTCTGGGATTACCTCTCAACTCATCACGAGGCTGTTCACCAGGTTATGCACTTGTTCAGTGACCGTGGTACACCATATTCCTACAGACACATGAACGGGTATTCTGGTCACACCCACAAGTGGTTCAAGGCCGACGGTACCTTTAACTATGTTCAAGTCCACTTGAAGACAGACCAAGGAAGCAAGACTTTCACCAACGAAGAGGCCGGAAAGATGGCTTCGGAGAACCCAGATTGGCACACTCAAGACCTATTCGATGCAATCGAGAAGGGAGATTACCCAAGCTGGAGCGTCTTCGTTCAAGTCCTTTCCCCAGAACAAGCTGAGAAGTTCCGCTGGAACATCTTCGACTTGACTAAGGTTTGGCCACAGGGTGAAGTTCCATTGAGACCATTCGGCAAAATGACCCTCAACAAGAACGTTGAGAATTACTTCGCCGAAATTGAGCAAGTTGCTTTCTCACCATCTCACTTGGTACCAGGTGTCGAGCCATCTGCCGACCCTGTCCTCCAATCTCGTCTCTTCTCATACCCAGATACTCACCGTCACCGTCTCTTCTCATACCCAGATACTCACCGTCACCGTCTCGGTGTCAACTACCAACAAATCCCAGTCAATGCTCCTCTCCGAGCATTCAATCCATTCCAACGTGATGGTGCTATGGCCGTCAATGGAAACTACGGCGCCAACCCCAACTACCCATCTTCTTACCGAAAGCTCACCCAAAAGCCTGTCAAGGCTACCAATGATCATGAGCAATGGTCCGGTGCTGCTTTAAGCTTTTTGTCCGAGGTTGGTCCAGAAGACTACGTCCAAGCTAAGGGTCTCTGGGATGTCCTCGGCAAGCAAGAAGGTCAACAAGATAACTTCATTGGAAATGTATCTGGGCACTTGGCAGCTGCTAAGGAGGACACTCGCAAGCGCACATATGACATGTTCAGCAGAGTTGACCCAACTCTTGGGGCCAAGATTGAAGAGGCAACCGAGAAGTTAGCTCCTGCTCCAGGTAGCAAGGCTGCTGGATCTGCTCAATCTCGCTTGTAGACTATAGTTGTGTTATAGGATAAGACAAGGTGGAGAAGATTGTCGGGTTGCGTTTGCTTTTTGCGATGATATCTATAATTATTTTATGAGAGACGAAGGAATAGGGAACGGTGATCGGATAGGTTATTTTGGTGGTTTTACGAAATTAGTTTTTAATCTGCAATGACATACCCCTTTTAAGATTTCGGAAATTTCGGATTCATCTATGCAATTTGGTGATGTTTAAAAGGTTGTTTGTGAACGTTATTATTGTCATAATCTATTTCATTCCGCCTTTCGAGATAATAAACGAATCCATAAAAAGGTAATGTCAACTCAATGCATTGAGATTGTTCCGAATTTCCTTGCTAAAGTAAAACTTTAAACCCCTCCTGCGCTTGAAACCACAATGGTTAGGGTCTGTTTCTCCACACTAGATGAGTAAACTGGAATGCCAGGCGGTAGAAAAATATTCGGAAAGTTCTGAATAATGCGAACAACCGCATATGACGCCTCCATCAGCGCAAAATCTTCTATTTCACATGATTAGTCACGACCCCTGACACTCCACAAACAGAATCAGCACTCACAACCAAGATAAATCCGCAGTTCGCCATGAAACGGCATAAATCCCCGTTGGATACCTTTTAATTCCGATCTCTCTTGTCGGTTTGGATGGAAGATAGTTGCTTTGATGGGTGAGATGTGGTGAGATAGCTACTTTGGTGCTGTTGGGGATGATGGGAGAGGTGCCACGGGGGAGGAGCGTGGTTTGCATGGCAACGCGGATGTTGTGGTGGATTTGGGTGTGGAGTCTGGAGGCTGGGGTGGATTGATGAGTGTGTAAGTAGGGGGTAGGCATGGAGTAGGGGGATAGTTACTTTCATTCAGAACACATGTGAGAAACGACATTTTCGATATTTGGGCTCGCGAAAGCGGTGTGTCTGTAGAGGTGACGAAGTCTCTTTCTTCATGCAGACGCTTCAGTGTGTTTGGATGGCGCATGAGATTGATATATATCATATCATATCACATCATTAGTCCTGAGCCGTTGCTTCACCATTGAACTTCGAGAGAAGGGGGGAAGGGAGGTTGAGTACATTAGTGAGAGACATATTATACCTACAGTTGTTTGTGCTACTTTTGATGTTGTGGTCGTGATATCGGTTGGCATATGAGTATCGTGACAGGGAGATAGGTGAGGAGGGAATTTTAGTACACGCTTAACTTTCTCGTATATCAAGTCCTGTATCATAGTAATTCATCCAGAATCTGATGGAACAGACTATTGAAAGATTGGCTCGTTTCAGAGTGGCGATGCGTACAACTTTAGTTTGCTGAAATTTTCCAGTGGAAGATAGTAAGCCAGGGGCTGAATTACCAACTGTTGGGACTTCTGTGATAAGATATCAAAAGACCGGTGCAATTCCATGCCCACAATCAAATGATGGCACACTGATGTTACGCGATTGCTATCTGCAAGGTCTCGAGTGTCACCCCTGAGGTCTATCAAGTGGCTTCGATATCGCACTGCCTCCTGGTCTGTCGGTCGAGGCCTTATGGCCACACCTAAATTCTTACAGCTTTCTTTACGCGGCGTGCAAGCTTTCGGCATTATATCTACTTTCGGCCCGTGTCGTCATTGAAGAATATAATGGCACTGTACCTGTATTATGAAACGAGAAACGAGGCTTTTCATACTGTGGCTGAATCTGCTTCGCCCTGCCCTTTAAAGAATTTGACAGGGTACAGTGTATGTATTTCATCACCTTCAGCCTATCGAAAATGCCCCTGCGTTGACAATCCAAGTAGTTTATATTCAGCGGCGTTATTCATATGGATATAGCAATTAGCATCATCTCAATAGTTCATAATCTCATCACGCATAATGTCAGAACTAGCTGCTCTTACAGAAGTCTTTTGTGGAGAGAACCCCATTGTTGAGTAAGTGTCTGGTTTTGAACTACGATATCTACAACTAACTAAAATGCCCTAGCATTGTCGCAGTCCATGGACTTAATGGAGATTCGGTCAAGACATGGACGTCAAAGACAAACAATAAGTTCTGGTTGGGCGATGCAGATATGCTCCCCTTGGCCATGAAGCAATCTCGAATTCTAACATTCAGATACAATGCTGCCGTCACAGCGCTTTTTGGAAAAACTTCAGCGGATCGAATCCTTCATCATGCTCAGACGTTGATAGCGGAATTGGTAGCCGATCGTCAGGTATGTAGAAATTCCCACCCCGAAGATACAAATATTCACATGTGCTGCAGATCAATGATGCTGAACACCGTCCCATTATTTTTATATGTCATTCACTGGGGGGTATCATCGTCAAAAGGGTAAGGAAGATATCAGGTTCTCATATCAGCTCTGGCTCACAAATCTTATATAGGCACTGGTGTATTCATTCAGTCGGACCAGTAAAGCGGTTGAGCACCTCCATTCTGTCTTCGTTTCCACCTACGGAATACTCTTTATGGGAACTCCGCATAATGGAAGCAGCCTGACGAGCTTGGCCTCCATGAGCCGACGAATGCTAGATGCACTTCTGCCGTCGAAAGTAATTAGTACTGATGGACAACTGCTAGACGCATTGAAGGAAGGGTCCGAAACGCTCCAAAATATCACCGATATGTTCATCCCGTTGATGAAGCAATTCCGAATCTATTTCTTCTGGGAACAGCAGAAGACAGATTTTGGGACAAAGTTAGATTACGTATGGATTGATATCATCAACCCGCTTATGAAAGTCTCCAGACTGATATTGATTTAGGTCGTAGAAAGCTCATCTGCTGCTCCAATCCTGGACAGTATTGAGAGAGCTGGACTGCCTTATGATCATTCCAACATGTGCAAATTTGCGTCTCGATCTGCAGGCGGATACACAATTGTAGTGGCGGCATTGATTCGATATTCTAAAGATGCACCAAGGACAATATCACGGAGATGGGATAATGCAGCGGTGATGTTTACGTCGGCGCGGAGGAACGAAGCGGCGGAATTATGCAGTTAAGGTAGTGGAGTGAGTTGCAATGTATTTGCATTGGGATTTTTCGGCCGCGAGAGCATCCACTGTCTTTTGGTACGGATTCTAAACTTTATGCCATTGTTATCATGGTGTTCGTTAAATTATTTCTATACTTATAAATGAACGTTGCATCCTTCTTTGATTGAAACCACTAATGTCATTGTCTGTTTCTCCACCCCGGTTAACTCTACTTTCTCGTTCGCAGGTAACTTTACGCCAGGATATTTTCGTAATATTCTCACAACTGTATAAGCGGCCTCTGTAAGAGCGAAGTCCACTTGAAAAGAGTCAGCGTTGCATAAATTGCCCCTTCATACTCGGTTAATTCTTCTTCTTTGAATTTGCCCTTGTAATTGAGCTTTGCCTCATAGTTTGTTTTGCCGTATGTTACCATTGAATGAATCAGACAAGAACTTACTACCGAGACAGACTCTTGGTCCCCCGTTGAATGGCAAGTATCCCCATTTCTGATTTGTTGGATTGTCATTCATCGGCATTGGTTCATCCCATCTCTCGGGCCGATAGATTTCAGCATCCATACCATAGAGATCTGGTCTTCTATGCATAGTATAGACACTGTAGGCAACGGCGGTACCCTTTTTGATGAAAATCGGCGATTTTCTATCAGGTCCTCCTCCAGTTGGTAGGACTGTATCGTTCAAAGAAGTTCTCGTATTGACAGGGACAGAAGGATACAGACGAAGGGCTAAGATGATTTTTTTAGCATTGTTCGTTTGACTTTTACCAACGATAACTCACTTTCCTTGAGAACATTTTGAAGGTATTTCATATTTCGTAGTTCTGTTCTATTTAACTCCGGTGCATCTCCAAGCAACGCGACCTCTTTTTGTAATTTGGCTAGAACTTTCGGATGGCGTACAAGGAGAAAGCTTATCAGTAATGTTAGCGGACGCTTTTTATAGTAATACTTTAACTCACAATGTCCAAGAGAGAAGGCAGGCGGTGGTATCTCTTCCAGCAACAAGGATATTGACAATTTGTCCTCGCAGTAACTCACGGTCACCTTGCATACTTTTATCTACCGATCTCAAGAAATCATACTTCTTATCGGTCCCAGACTCGGAATCTAGTGAAAGATTGTGTTCAATAATTTGGTCAGCGAATTCGTGCACTTTGCTGCAGGCTTGAGAGAATTTCTTCCCCCCAATAAGCCAGTAAAGATCTAGGAGTCGGAATCTCTTTACAACGTATTCTTGTGCTGCATTAAATGCGCCTGCAAAATCTTGTTCGTTTGTTGAATCTGGGGATTTGAGACTATGGACAGATTGTCCGAACAAAAATGCAGTGGTTGTGTCAAGTGTGAGACGAAAGAACAATGGCTGTAAATCGACGACCCCTCCTTCTTTAGGGAGAGCATCAAGCAATTCATCAACAGATCCTCTAAAGACTTCCAGATCTTCGTATTGCCGATGGACAAAATGTGGTCTAAGCAAGTCTCTGGAATGTTTCCAAGCTTCGCCGTCCTGAATGAATATTCCCTCGCCAAACATTGGGAAGGAGATAGCACGCCGCGGCCCCATTCCCCAATCTACACCGGGAATTATGTGTCAATGATACTATAGAGATATATTTGTGAAGTTAACGGGGAGCCAGATAAAAGAGGAGCCAAACCCGAAAATTTTGTGGACATAATAGCTTCCAAATTGGCGGGATCCACGGTACCATAAGCCGGAGTCAACAAGAAAACTTGCTTCAGAGTATATCCAGTTTGCCTGAAGTGGAACAGAAACAGCTCCATAAGTCTTGATTCGTTATCTGCTCGAAATATCTGCTCTAGACGATCGATTCCAAGAGGTCTCTGGTTTTCGAGTAATGGAGGCGAGAAGCAACCAAGATTTTTTATAATAGCTTGTGTTTCCTACAAAAATAGCCTCATTAGTATCGTTTTAAAACAACTACTAGGGATTTACCTTATTCTCTTGGATGCGGCTGATTGCCCATCGTATACAATAAACTAAGATCCCAAGTACAACCACGTTTAATACAAGAGCCATCTTGACATATGGGATTTTTTGAACGCGCAAGTAACAATCAGGCAATGAGCAATGTGCTAGTAGAATTCATAAGCATAGATCAGAGAAAATGGTCTAAAGTTTGTAAAGCTAATGAATGACCGTTATACAATATTGTGTGTTAATGTAGGAACATAACCAAAACACAGAAGCGAAACGCGACAAGACTACTACCAAGTAAGGACAATCCAATAATGCTCATTACTAGATGCGAAAACTGCAAGTAGAATTAAAGCTTGTTAAGGGGTGAGTATCCCTCTTCAGAGTTCTAACTGTCAGATGTAACTATACCCTTATCTTCATGTTTAATCCCATGTCGAATCTACAGAGGTACATCAGCTCTTGATAATACAGGGGAGGTGATTGGAGCGTATAGTGGATCCTACTCTGTATGTGCCCTGTTCTGTCGGTGCGCCGCACATAGATGGTTAGGCTAATATATGCAGTCGGCCCAAAGCTACTGAAGTGGAAGACGAAGGGTTTCATCGCAGAAATCTTTACATTTGAAAGAACCAATGGAATGTCCAAATACCATGCCCACGCCTGTGCCTGGCCCAGATTTAAACGCCCGTTCGGTGCGTGCCCATGACATACACGGTTAACCGTGCCGCGAGACTGGCTCTCAATATGAATTGGGATGGGTAGAAACCGGACATCAACCCTCGATCATCTTTGTACGGAGTACATGTATCTGATCCGGTTGGTGTATCATGCACGGAGATATACGCATCCATTTTCTTTACTTCTTTACCCCAGCTTCCGAGGATTAGTTTGTATGGGCAGAATGATATCATTGGCGGGAAAACGGAGGCGGTGAGTCGTAAATAGATGAAGATAACAATGTTCATGGTTTGAATGGAATGTTAATATGAAATCGATAGTAAAGGTGGTGTGCATGCAGCAAGAGCTGAGTTCATGTTCAGAATGATACGTTGTGTACGTAGTCGTGAAGTGTGGTATCCGGATTAATGCCTTGCTTGGGTTTCCTACCACATTCGGCGGGTTAAGGCTTTTCCTTTGCCAACGATCTCTCTCATCAATACAAAACTATGAATCAGTATGAAAATTAGACTCATTGCGGAGCCAGAATCACCACATGTTGAGTATGTTGAGCTGCTCTTTAACATTGTGTCTTTACGCTAATTTGACATAGTTTAGTGGCTGTCCATGGTCTCTGCGAATCAGCTTCTGAGACTTGGACGAACCCGCAAAAGCATAAACCTTGGCTTCGAGACCCAGTTCTATTCCCATATCACACTCTCCAAACTCGAGTCTTATCCTTCGAGTATGATCCGAGCCGCTTTACAATTCCTGGAAGAGGAGGAACTATATCAAATGGTATCTTAGATCTTGCAACGAATCTCATCGCCGAGCTTGACTCGTACAGACAAGCAAATGACGGTGCGGAACATGCACATCGTCCTATCATTTTTATATGCCACGGATTTGGTGGTCTCTTGGTAAAGCGAGCTCTTGCTTTATCATGGAGTAAAACGAAGTCTGGAGTTTCACATCTTCGAGCTATCTATATATCAACTCATGGTATTTTATTCATGGGAACTCCTCATAATGGCCTAGATGAAACTTTGATACTGAACTCGGGAATTGAAAAATATCCTGGCCCTAGTCAATTCATGCTCAACCTTCTCACTGGTTCGGATACTATCAAAGAAATCACAGATTTGTTTGTTCCATTGGCCAAGAGATTTGCCATTTACAACTTCTGGGAGGGACTAGAAGCCTTTTTTGATGACCAAGCACAACAACCAGTTTATATTGTAGATGCGCTATCAGCTGCACCAGTCTGGGAACAAGTTGATAAATGTGGAATAATGGCAAGCCACTCAGGGATGGTCAAGTTCAGTACAAAGAGCGATCCTGGGTACATTGTAGTCTACCAGGCTCTTGAAAAGTATATCAAGGCTGCTCCACGAGTAGTAAGTAGAAGATGGGAGCAAGAGATGGAGCGAGTTATCGCAGAGCGCAGACAGGAGGCGGATGATCTTCTTCAAGAAATACCTGCCCCGCCTTCACGAGTCCAAGCGATTGAACCGTACATCAATGTACACTATATGGTACATCGTTGCTCTAGTAGTTATTTTGTAGGTAGAACGGGTCAAGCAGACAAGGTGAAGGAGATGTTTGGTGATATTACAACAAACCCTCGCTCCAAACATAGAATACTAGTAATCCACGGACTTGGTGGTTCTGGCAAGACACAATTTTCGCTGAAATATATAGAGAACAATCGTCACAGGTACTATCTTGATTTTCTGTCTCGATCAATATGGGAGTTTCGCTAATCTTGACAGGTATTGGGGAATTTTTTGGATTGACTGCAGCAACGAATCAGCTGCAGAAAAGGGTTTTGCTTTCCTTGGGGAGAACGCACAAAAAGCATCTTCACTTGAAGCGGGCATGCATTGGCTGTCGAACCAATCGACATCATGGCTTCTCGTCCTCGATAATGCAGATGATCCAGAAATGGATCTGCCTAGATTTTTCCCTGCTGGCGGCAATGGTCACATATTGGTGACAACACGCAACCCTGGCGTGAGGATTCATAACACGGTCGGGTATCTTAAGTTCCAGGGAATGGACCCAGAGGAAGCAATTACATTACTTCTCAAGCTAGCTTACCCCGAAAATGAATCAAAATTCCCTCTAGCCCCGCAAAATCGACAAATGGCTGAAGGAATCGCTTCTGAATTAGGTTATCTAGCACTCGCTCTTACTCATGCTGGCGCTACAATCCGTCAGAACATATTCACACTGGAAAGGTATTTGAAATACTACCTTGGCTACCGCAGGAACATGATCCGCTCTCGCTCAATTAACAGCTGCACAGATGCTAACATTATATCCACCTGGGAAATTCCATTCGAACGGATAGCAAGCAAGAAGTCGCTTGCTCACAAAGATGCTGTGGAGTTGATACAACTTTTTGCTTTCATGCATTTCGACTCTATTCCAGAGCAATTACTGCAGAGATCTTCGGATAGTATAAGGAAATCGAAAAGTCCCCTCGCTACTTACCCAGCTATGCTGAAGGCCAAGTCAATGTGGAATGAAGATTCCCAAATTCGATTTCGCTTAGCAATGAATGTTCTGTACGACCATTCAATCATTGATAATGACCACGAAAAAAAAGTCTGCTCTTTACACCCAGTTGTCCATCGCTGGGCTAGGGATCGCCTTGATGATACTCAGCAGAAAGACTGGTTGGGATGTGCGAGTTCGATCCTCGCCCATTCAATCTCGTCAAATTTCGAGATTTCGGAAAGAAAGTTCAGGAAGCAACTTTTGCCTCACATTAGTTCCTGTATCAGTGCCTTAAGAGATATGTATGGATCTCTTCCAAACAATATCGAGCAAGCCGCAGAATTGGAGAAATTTGCTCTAGTCTACGCAGAGAATGGGCAGTGGAAGCGTGCCAAGCCACTTCAGGAAAATGTTGTAAGATTCCGGGTCAAAGTGCTAGGTAATCAACACCACTCGACTCTTCTAGGGCAGCGAAACCTTGCAAATATGCACTGGGATCTTTTCGAAGTACAGCAAGCCTTGCAACTTCAGTCACAAGTACTCCGAGCTCAGTGGCGGTCACGTCCTTCGATATTTTCTTGGATCAAGTATCCTATAAATCCAATACATACTTCATATTGTGTTGCTCTTGACGAATTCACTCGCACCTTGTGGCTCAGCGGGCAGCGAGAAGTATCACGTCAGACTGGGCAGCGTGCAGTATATGGACTAACGAAAGTACTGGGGTATGATGACCCACAAAGTTTGAACGCCATGTTCAATCTAGCACGAACATATTTACATCTTGGCGAATTTGAGAAAAGCCAAGAGCTGCTCGCACAGGTTGTTCAAAAGAGGGAACACTGGTTTGGAAAAGAACACCCTGATACGTTAATGGCGCGGAATGAAAAAGCTATGATCTCGGTTATATTGAAGCAGGACTTGCTTGCAGCGGAAAGTGAAATTTTTGATGTTCTTAAGTCGCGGAAGGAGACTTTGGGAGAGGAACATGCGTATACCTTGTGGTCAGTGAATGATCTATCCAAAGTCTACTGTGCAACCGGTCGCTGGGGTGAGGCAGTCAAGAATTTGCAAGATATTCTACCAGTTGTGGCACGTACCTTGGGAGAGACACATGTCGGGATGATAATGACGAAATCCAACCTGGCACGGGCATATGTTGGATGCAACAGATGGATCGATGCAAGAAAACTTATTCAGCCATTACTGAGTGAAGTTCCATCCCAACATCCAGATTGGTTTCATATCAAGCAAGAATACATCTCTATCCTAATGCATCTGGATGATATGGACGAAGCCGAACGCAGTTGTAACGCGGTACTTGATAATCTAGTTCGATACTCTACGTTTGGATTAGCTGATCCATACACCTTGAGCATTGCGAAACAACTCGAGAAGATCTACAAGACGCAAGGGCGTTACGAAGATTCCGATAAGCTGATCCAAAGATTTCCTTCGTTGGAAAAATCTCCGCATCCAAACAAGAATCTTCCTTCCAATTCCGATTTGCTCCCTGGAACAACAACCATCTCGACACTAACGAATCGCAAAATTTATCACTCCAAGACCTTTTAACGGCCAAGAATACGAATCTCTCACCCATCAAAGACGCCTGCTCTACTAATCCAAGCAGCCCACGAAATAAAACGGCTTTTGCAGTTATAAGATAAAGAACCACTGATCTGACCCATCACGAAGATATACAATCCTACCAAGGCAAACTTCGAGAGAAAACTGTCCTCTCTTATCAAAATTGATAACCCCTGGTGATTGTTCTTCCCGTAAATAGCTTCACTTCATGCCAGCAGAGAGCAATCAAGACCAAAGAAGGATATTTCTATAGAACTCCCCCGCCTTCTCTTCGGAAGCGAGAAGGGCGATTATTTTGTATCTATACTATTCAAAATTATATATACGATTCTGAAAGCACTAGAATAATAACACATGACACATCAATAGCAATCTAATCCCAAGACCCGCCCCTGAAAACTCTCTGCGTGGGGAGCTCTTTAGTGAAGCATACAACCCGCTCGATTTTCTATAAAGTAAGGTCCCCAATCTTAATCTCAATCTCAAGCCTTCCTCCCCTACATACACCGCACCCATTAATCAACCCTTTCCCTCAATACGATGCAGTCGATACCTACCCAGAGTAGCCCGGCTTTGTACATGTAGAAAAAGAGGAAGAAAAAAAAAGACGGAAATTCTCAAACGAGATAACAGTAATCCTATCATCTCACTCCCCCAAAACCACAGCAGGAAAAATGCACTTGCATATTCGCCTTTGCAGACCCATCGCAGGCACCGAAGCAACTCTGAGTGGAAATCATCATATGTCCATCGACGTCCAAGTATTAATATTGAGTACCCCAGCGAAAATAATACACTTTTAGATTCCGCCAAAACTCTGATATATACAGAAAGTCTTTAATTATAGTTACAACCAAATTTTCCTTCAACAATGACTCTGATGATAGTTCCTCTTCATAACGAGGAGTTCAGTCTTCATTGTTTTCCCAAAGTGGCATACACGCTTTCCTACTCGGCTTGTCGACTTACACTCCTCCTACTCATGCCTAGATTCTGTAACTCCATACCCTCGCCCAACCCCCCACTCCTCCCCTCACCTTTCCAACTTTCTCTCCTCCTCGCCATTCCCGAGCCAGGACCACCAGCTGGGAACTCTCCTCGCTCGGCTCGTCCTTCATCACTATCACCCTCTGTTTCCAGTACTCCTTTCCCATTTTCTCCACTTTCTCCAGAACGATTATTCGTCAGTACACCCTCCCGACCAACATCAGCACCA